ATCCTCCATTAGTCATAAAGATCATTGGCTTGGGTCCTGTATGTTTCTTTGGCCAAAAAAAAAATAAGTATAATACCCCATATTCTTTGCAACACAGCTCATCTTACATTCGTATTTGTCCCTTCTCTTTTTGGACAGGGACTTCAATGTAAAATGCCTCAGTTTTATAGATCTTTGAATAAACTGTTCAAAAGAGCAGTGTTTTATTGCTTCCTATTTATAATCTCATTCTGTTCTGACTTATATGGGCAAAAACCAAACACTGGAGACAATTTTTTCCTCTTCCTTAGTCTGTTTGATGGTAAATGTAAAATCATGAAGTTTTAGGTGGGGGCATTCTTTGGTCCCCTTATTACAGCTATTCATCTTTATGGGGGGTGAAGGGGAGAGAGCTGACTCTATTGGATGGAGATGTTTCTCTGGAATCTTTCTCTGGTGACTCGTAATCTAAAGCTGTTGAATTCTAGGAAGGCAGTTTTAACCACAGTATTTAATCTTATGGAGACGTTTATTGCATAGCTTTTTGTTTTGTCTTGTTTAATATAAACCACCGGAGAGATGTTTCCTGGTTATGTCATTTCATAAAGCAGAGCGTGAAGTAAAAAAAAAAATCCCGGATAAGAAAAGGCCATTCCTTCTTAAGAATTCTGTCACAGAATCTGCTTCTCTAAGGGACTTAGAGCCTTAAAGCAATGCCAATAAAAACGTTAACATTAATAGTAGCAATAATAACAACAACAATGGCTAACTAACACCCACAGAGGAGGTGTGGAGTTGTGGTTATAAAGGCTACTTCTAGAGTCAAACACACCTAGATTTTCTTTGCAGCTCTGACTGTAGTTATTGCTTGTCTCTACCTTAAAGATAAAAGAGTTAAATTGTTTGTTCAAGGTCACTTGGCTAGGAAATGGCAAATCAAAGGCTCCCTGGGGTCTGAAAAAATATATCAAATTTCATCTAAATACCTCCAAACTGATAGAACAGCTGCATTATGGAAAGCCTCCCTCCAATGCCATTATGTTTCTAGTTAGCATTTATAAAACCTCTAAGTCAAGATAAGGTCAAAGGATAGTCTTTAGTAGAATATCAGATTTGATCAAGATCAATTTACTCCGTCAAGCTTTATCACAGAATTTATAGTGAAACTTAAAATGTCATTCAATCTTTTGACTGCGCCCCACATATAAACCTTAGCAACATGAAGTTTAAGAGTCTCTGTATTAGTCAGAACTCTCTGGGTAAAGATTAATGAGGCCCATCTCAAAATATCCTAAGTAAAAGGGAAATTTATCTCTCCTCTGTTGGGGAATTCTAGACTCTAGCTTCAGGTATAGCTGGATCTAGGCTCTTTGTCTTGTCACCTTTCACACACTGGCTCTATTTTCAGTTCTGATCTGGCTTCCTCCTCTTCTACTGAGAAAAAGGTAGTATGTGTTGATATAGATCTCTGCCAGCAGCCTCAACACCTTATCCTCACAGGTTACTAAGCTGTGGGCAGATAGAAGACTTCTTTATCCTCTGATATCTGTGTACTAGCCATTGATGAGAACTGTTCAGCCTATTCAAGCCATAGAGCATGACCAGGTCTATAAAGAAGTAGATCCTTCAGTGGCATTGCATTCATTTCTTATGGCTGTTATAATAAATACATTATCACAAACTTGGTGGTTTATAACAACACAAATCGGAGGCCAGATGCCCAAAAGCAGTCTCACTAAAGTGAGACTAAAGTCTAGGGATCAGCAGGCTGTGGTCCCTTCTGGAGGCCCTAGAGGAGAATCTGTTTCCTTGCCTTTCCTAGCTTCTGGAGACCACCTGCATTCTTTGGCTCAGGACCTCTTCTTCAAATCACTCTAACCCTTTGCTTTCAAGGTCATATCTCTTACTTCCTCTTCTGTAGTCAAATCTCCTACTGCCTGCCTCTTTTAAGGACATTTGTGATTATATTTGGACCCACTTGGATAATCCAAGATAATCTCCTCAATCTCAAGATCCTTAACTTAATCACATCCGCAGCCCCTTTTGCCACAGAAGGTAACATTAATAGCTTCCAAGGATTAGGATGTGAACATCTGGGGGGCCATTACTCAGCCTACCACAAGCGTCGTCCTGGAAGGCATGATAACTGATGCAAACAGGCAAAGAAAGACACGTTTTATAAAAGAGAAACCAAATTATACAGAGAATGGAGAAATCCTTTTCAGCTTCTGGGATCTGGTTTGGCTTCTTGACAGGTAATTATAATAATGATGAGAGCCAACATTTATATTGCTCCTTACGTGTCAGGCATTGTTCTAAATGCCTTATTTATGTAACTCAATTGATCTTTACAAAACATCACCCTCATTTTATAGAAGATGAAACTAAGGTATAAAGACATTAAGTGAATTGAGTAAGATCACATTGAAATAGTAGAGCCAGGACTTGAACCCAAGGTATCTGATTCCCAGGCACATACTTTTGGCCATTTGAGATGGAACTTAAAGAATGGAGAGCAGGCTGACACAATGAGGAAACAGAAGGGTATTGTAGACAGAGGGAAGAGAATGAACAAAGGCACAGGGGCAGAGAAATGAAAGGCAGATTCAGGCCAGTGAGTGGACCAGGTTGAATGGAGTTTAGCAAGTCTGAGAGAAGTAGTGGGATAGCAAGTTAGGTCTAGCTTGAAGCCAGGGCACAGAAGACTTTGAAACCATGGACATCCTCCATGGCTGAAGGGAGGCCTTTGAGACATTGGACTAGAGGAGGGGGCTTATCAGAGTTGTACCTTGGGAGGACTGATCTGGTGACAACGTGAAAGCTGGACTGGGGGAGTGAGAAGGGAGCTGCCCCCTCTCCTCTACTCCCCTGGCACTTTGTATATCATAGAATATGCCCGTATGTCTTGCCCACTAGAGAGTGAGCCCTGGAGGGGAGCCCAGTATATCATCCATCTCTGGCAGCATGTGCCAGTAGATGATACAGTAAAGCACAAAACACAATACAGCTAGAGGGCAGGAGGCAGGGGTTGTGGATGCTGGGACTGCTCCTGCTGCTAATGGAAATAACACCATTCTGGAGTCAGTTTAAAGTGCCTTTACCCACATTTGCTGAAGACTTTTAGCATAATAAAGAAGGCCTAGAAAGTTTGGATATATGTAGGTTTATATTCAAATCTTGCCTCTGTCAATTACCTCCGTATGGTCTTGGGTAATTTCTCAATACCCCAAGCCTTGTATTCTTAATCTTTAAAATCGAAATTACCCCAAGCCTTGTATTCTTAATCTTTAAAATCGAAATAAAGTTATTTTATTGGTAATTGTTAACTTATAAGGTAATATTTATCTGGCTCAAATGAGGGATGTGGCAGGTGGATATCACTCAAAATTATTTTTTTAATATTATTATTTAATTGCATCACCAACTTACCTTTATGCCCCTGTTAGTACTTTTCCTCCATTTTGCAGTTGTGACACTGAAAGAAGGGATTTATCCAAAGCCATACAGTGGAAGAGCCTGGATGTGAAGCGACAAGTGTAAGATTCCCAGCTGCGTGCACACTTCATAAAGGAAAATGACGCTTAAGGGAAAGAGCGGGACAGACGTGACCACACAAGTGAGAGAGATGGACTTCAAGAAGGACACTCACAGATCTTCGAGGAAGTTCCAAAGACCAGTTTTGATAAAAACATCCAGACTATTCGCCTCTCAGCAGCCACACCCTGGGCACCCGCGGAGAAGGCCCCAGCCTCCCGCAGGTGGGCGATCTGGTCCCCGCCCAGCAACAGCCCTCTGCGTCCTTAGCGACCGGGGGCTGGTGCAGCCTCCGCCCAGGAGCGGGGCCCTGTGATTGGCCCGACTCCTGGGCTCCGGTCTCCCGCCCCACCCCGGTCCCCACAGGCTTCCGTAGGTCGGGATCCTGGGGAGAAGCACTGACCACGCACCCCTGAGCCGCCCTAGCGGTAAGGCTGACCCCTCTGAGCTCTCCAGGGAAAGGATTGACACGCAGCTGCTGGGTAGAGAGGACCCCCATAATCACAAATTCTGGTCCTTGAAGTTTCCAGGTAGCTTCAAAGAAGTTGTAGGGATGGGGCTACCCTCGCAGAGCAGGTCCTATTGCTCACCACACACTAAGTGAAGCTAGGGTTTGGGGAAGAACCCTGGTCTACTTATCAGACCAGAGTACTGGAAACAGGTATGCTCTCACTCGCTGTGTGACCTTGGTCAAATAACACCCTCTCTGGGTCTTGGTTTCCCAGTCTGTAGAGGGAGCATTTGGATTAGAATGATTTCTAAAAGGCTTTCAATCTCTGAGAGCCTCTGATAGGGAATGGTTAGCCTGGGACCAGGTTTATAGAACTTCTAAGTTTCCCCTGGCATCACAGCTGTTTAAACATACAATGAATATCTAGAGCTGGATCTCAATTTTAGATCCACTGCATTGTTGCAGAAACAGATCAGTGATAACGAGAAAAATCCCCTTTTCTATGCACAGTGCTCCTTCAGATGCATGATCTCATTGGCTTATCCCTAAATCCAGAGAGCAGAACTGGAATAATTCTAGTTTCATAAATGGGGAAACTGAGCTTCAAAACTGAATTTGAGTTCTTCGCACGTCCCTCTAAAGCCCTGGTTTCCTCTCTGACCTCACAAGAATCCTGTCACTTGACTTGTAGTACAGGAAGGCAGGGTCACCGAATGGCTGTCAACCAGTTTTACAGCCCTCTTAGGTGGAATTCCCAACTCTGCTAATTACTGTTATGTGACATTGGATAAGTTACTTAGCTACATTATGCCTGTTCCCTCAACTGTAAGACAAGAATGATAATAGTAATTAAGAGTATCTTTCTCATGATTTTATTAGAAATACTGAAATAATAATATAGGTAAAGCACTTGGTCTCGCTATTATTATTGTTGTTGTTATTATTGACAAGGATGCTACAGCTGCCTAGTGGAAAATCCAGAGAAAGAGTTTTACTTATTTTCCACCCCCAAGGATTTGAAGAGGTTTTGAGAATTATGTCTTCAGTTTGGAAGACTGCCCGTGGATCAAATGCGATGCCTGAGATGATGGTGAAAATCATTGGAAGTAAACACTTTTGATACCTTGTGGAGAAGCCAAAGATGTAAGTTTACTATTTGAAAAATACCTGTTTTGCTTGGATGATAATGAAGTTTTTTCTTTAATCCAGAAATGTACATTTTAAAAACGCTGTCCATGGAAAATTAAGTCATTAAGATGAAACAGTAAAAGTAAAACAGTGTTGATAACTTCTATGCACAGTGTTTTCCTAAAGTTTTCATCTTTGTAATTCCCCATACTCCTTAATTACTTGGGCTGATTTTCTAAATAGATGGGAAATATAAGCATTGAGACATTTATAAATATTAATGGAGCATTGCTGCTTCTTCTCATCAGGTTTGTAATCTACCACATTTAGTCATTTTTGGGGGGTGGGGAGGGAGAGGGGAAGGTTGTTAATCAAATTGTTATGAATTAAAGGAGTGGGATTGGTAATGAGTCATCAATTGTAAGAGTTTCACTTACTTTTCTTCATAATCCATACTCCTCCAATAGGGGCTTCTCAGAACATAACTAAGAGGGCTTTCTTCCTCTAAACTCATCACAGTCACACTTGAAGGGGGACATTCATATATCGCTAAAATTCTCTAGATGTTTGGCACAGAAAAGTATGACCAGTTCTTCCTTCCAGAGTTTTGGTGGTTTGCATAAGAAAAAGAAGATACTAGCCCTGCCTTTCATCTAGTAGATATTCCATAAATAGCAGCCCGTTAATAATTGCCTTTCCCTCCTAAAGTGATTTCCTTAGTTCTTTCCTCTATTTCAGAAACCCATAGACCAAAAAAATAGAGAAACAAAAAGATCTAACCTCATTGAACATAGGTTCAGAAAGCAGTGGACACCAAACCTGGCTATCATCAGAATCACCCAGAGAGTCCTTAAAAATAAAGATGTGGGGTTCAACCCAAGACCTATTAAATCAGAATCCCTGAAGATGAGGCCATGAGGACTACTGTTATGGAGTATAGGCTTTAGAAGGGCAAATGGGCTTTACCTCCCCACCAATCAGTACGGTTGCCCCAAGAGATTCCAAAGTGAGTACTGTAATCAATTAGTAATGTCTGTCATGGCACAGGAATTGAGCTTTGCAGCACGTGAGTCATACATTTGAGATCCCTACAGACCTGAGAGATGTGAGTTTGAATCCTGGCTCTGTGCCTTCCTAGACTTTTGACATTGAGAAAGTGAGTTAACATCTCTGGTCTCAGATTCTATCAACTGGGGATAAAATCCATCTATCTAGTAGGGTTGTTGTGAGGATCAAATGCGAAAAAGTATGCAAAACATCTTTCCAGTGCCTAGAAGTATATTCAATGTGCTTAATAAATGGTTCTGCTACTATTATTGAGGCAAATCTTTCCATGGATACAAGACATTAAGTAAAAAATCAAATCTCTTTCTATGAAACACTTGGCATCCCTTTTATATTCTATGCCAGGTTATCTCTGTTTTGTAGATGAAGAAACTAAGATACTGTGATAAGTGATTATTTCAAGATCTGCTGATCTTGACAAATCCCAGTCGTTGTCTAGAAAAGTAAATAAGATCAGTTGGAATGCCTTGCTCAATTCTCCTTCTACCTGGAAGACATTGCTATTCTACTAATTTCCATTCCTCTTTGAGGTTGTTTGTTTAACCCCTTCATCCCCAACCCCTTCCTTTTTCCAGGGGTATCAGAGTCTAATACGTTCCTAATGGGGGTGGGAGGTGGGGGAAGCATCCTTGTCCTTTTAAAGTAGAGAAAAATTCCATCTGTCTTATAAGAAGGTACCTGTATTTATTTCTCTTTATTCTTTAAACTTTAGATTCAGGAATTAAGAGTACATTACGTCAACTACATTAATTGGAAATAAAAGACAGTTCTGTTTCTTCTATGACACAGACAATAAAACAATTGCTATTTTTTTAATATTAAAATAAGTTTTCTGTTTCTGTTTCTATGGACTTGATGTTACTGTTGCTGGAATGACATAGGACAGTTAACAAGCTTTCCTAAAATATTTTTGTATGGTTCAAAAATAAATAACTCTCAAGAGGCTTCTTGTTGCTGAGTTAAAGACAGACCCACCACTACCATGCCTTTGCATGTTCCAAAGTCTGACTCTAAAAAACATTTTAATCATGCTACATCTACACCTTTCAGCCAGGGCTTCAAGAAGGTGTTTTCTTTGGGGTAAATCATTGAGCCCATAAGTAAAAAATGTACATAAGAAACATAAGTAAAAGCCAAAAGAAGAAGAAGTCTCTATAAGGAAAATCTGGATTAAAAAAAATTACAAATTAATAATGGATGGAAAAATAGAACTATTCTCGTATAACCACATTTAGTTCAGATTTCTTATAGGATGTATGGAAAAGATGGATAGTATATCAGACAGAGAAGTGATCCTCAATGTACAAATCAGTCTATTAGTTTGCTAGGGCTGCTGAATGAAAATGCCATAAACTGGGTAGCTTAGACCAACAGAAATGTATTGTCTCACAGTTCTGGAGACTAGTCAGCCGAAACCAAGGTGTCGGCAGAGGCCTGCTCCTTCTGAGGTGCCCAGGAAGGATCCTTCTGTTCCAGGTCTCTCTCCTTGCCTCTCCCTATATATGTTTCTGTGTACAGATTTCCTCTTTTCATAAGGGCACCAGTCAGTTGGCTTATAACTCTACTACTCTAGCATGGCTTCATCTTAACTAATTACATCTGCAGTCACCCTATTTCCAAATAAGGTCACATTCTGAGATACTGGGGGTTAGGACTTCAACATATGAGTTGGCGGGGAGGCACATAACCCATAACAACCAGTCTCCCATTTTACAGATGAGGTGAGACAACTGAGGCCTCAGTGAACTTAAAGTCAGGCCACTTATTAAGAATTAAGACTGGAATACCACTCCCTCCATCTTTTTTTAGTTAAGCCTGGACAGTTACTAACAGGAGATGAACAGAAAATACTCAATGCCTACTTAGAATACATATTTTTCACAAAAAAGATCAAGGTACAGGCTTAAAGAGTAAAACAGGTGTCCCTCAGTTTGTGCCATCATCGTTTTCCTCATATATCCCTACACCAGCCTTCCAACCCTGCTCCCTGCCTCTAATCTCATTCTCTCATTCACTCTCTGAATCCTTGTTCCTCAAAGGATAGTCTATGGACCATCAACATCAACCTCACCTGGGAGTCTGTTAGAAATGCAGACTCTCAGGCCCCTCTCCAGACATACTGAGTCAGAATCTGCACTGTTGTCAATTCCCAGGTGAGGCCTATGCAACATTCGTGTTTGAGAAGCCCAATTCTCAAGTATAGCTAGCACACCATCTTTTTAAAATGCAAATCTAATGAAGTGCCACCATCACCAGCCTCAGATTTGCCTGCCTCCCTCCCTCTGTGGGCTCCCATAGCATTCATAGGGATTATTGCAGTCTGACAATTTCCTATGCATTTCTGTGTTCCCCCCATTTACCTGTAAATTCTGTGTGCACAACTGTACCCTCAGCACTGAGTGCAAAGTCTTGTACATATTGAAAGCCTAATGAATGAATTAGAGTACAATAGATGCCAAGAAAAGGAAAGATCTAGAAAGACAATTCTTAGTGCTTTAAATACAAGTCTAAAGGCCCATGTTGCTAAAATAACACGAAGATATTACTATGGAACCCTGATGAGTCATCTGATAGCTGATCCAGAAGAACATATGCCAGTTGACTTGAGACAAATATCTCATTTTCTAAAAGGAGATAAAAGTTGGTAACGAAATCACAGAACTTGAGGCTTGTGGACAATCTCTGGCAAAATTACAGGCCAAAGAATTAAATATATTAGATGTGAGAACAAAACACAAAGGTGATGGTCACTAAGGGTTGGTGCATGTTGACTAAAAAACAGAGCATGCTAAACTGACTGCATTCTCTTTATTGATGAGGTTACTGCAGTGCAGATGAAGGGAATCATAAAGCACAGTATTGGTTAATTTCAGTGAGTCATTAGGCACATTTTTCTCACAAAGCCTTGAAATAAGGCAGAGAATTCTGGACTGAATAGTATTAAGATAGGCGACATACCAACCTGGTAGTGACTGAACAATGGATGTAAACACAATGTGTCGGAGGTGGAGAGGCTGAGAGGATTTACGTGTGACCCTGTTCTTAGTCAACATTTTTTGAAATCCCCAACTGAAGGAAGATAGACAAATCACTTTAGTAAACAGGTAAGTAGTAGAATGCTGGGAAGACTTGGCAGGAAAATGAGCGAAAACCAGCAAGATAAAATCAAGAGAAATGTATGTAAAGTATGTCTTTAGATAAGGGTACATGTAAGTGATTATATAGAATAGATGTTTGGGTTTTACTTGCTGTGAAGTAATAGAATACATACTGGTCTCTGGGAATTCCCTGGCCGTCCAATGGTTAGGATTCCGTGCCTTCACTGCTTAGGGCCCGGGTTCGATTCCTGGTTGGGGAACTAAGATCCCGAAAGCTGTGCAGTGCAGCCAGAAAATAAGAAATGAAAAAAATTTTTCAATTTAAAAAAAAATACATACTGGTCTCTGCTCCCACCCAGCTCCTGGCATGGAGCTCCTAAAACTCTCACAATTTCCTAAGAGATAAGAGTACTAGGAGTATCATTTGTTCTACTATTTAATCTTTGACCCTGGCTCCTGACACAAAGCTCCTAAAGCCCTAAGAATTTCCTGAGTGATAAGGCATCTTTTGTTCTAATGAGGATACTCTTGGTGGGATCCTGGGTGGCTCCAGGATGGAGGTTGGTCACGAGAAAGACCAAGCCATGATTAAAAGCTTGGAACTTTCAGTGCCTTACACCACACTATCCTCCTCGAGGGAAGCGAAGCTGGAGACTGAGTGAATGATTGATCATAACTACATGATGGAGCCTCCTAAAAATCCCAAAGGTATGGGGTTCAGAGAGCATCTAGGCTGCTGAACACATCTATGTGCTGGGAGGGTGTTATGTCTGTAGAATGCATGGAAGTTCCATGCCCTTCCTCAAATACTTTGCCCTCTGCATCTCTTCCATCTGGCTGTCCCTGAGTTGT